GGGGGGGGGTGTTAAAGAGACCCTCAGAAAGCTAAAGGACCAAAGCATCTCCTTGCCAGCAATCAACACCTGGAGCAAGGGAAATGGACACCCGGATTAACATCAGACGAGCAATCGAGCATTAAACTGCCGACTCAGACAAACAAACAGTAACCACAGTCTAACCCTTCTGACAGGGCAAAGCACTGGGGAGGCCATACCCCCCTCCTCCCTCCTGGCGCTTCCTTGCTGGGTCCTGGAATGTCTGCAAGTGAAGCTCAGAGGGCACCAGGGACCCCAAGGAAGAAGCGGCTGGGTGGGGCATACAGACGTACTTCGGACTGCCTTCGCCTTCAGCCCTGCGGGCATCTTTGCCGGCCCCCAAACGGGATCCGAAGGCATCGGGCGCAGTTCCTGCCTGGGAATCCAATTTGTGGGTCTGCCCAGGTGCCCCCAGAGCCTCTCGGACACATTAGGCACCCGGCCCTCGGGGGGGGGAAAGCAGGCGAACGGCTGCCTGCCTGCCTGCGCCTGGTGGGAGAATCTAGGAGCCTTAAATAGGCCAGGATGATGGGTGCCTCCGAGGGCTGGGGGGGGAGAGCCGGGGGGATGTGATAAGAGGGGCCGGTGATGGATGGAAAGCAGGCGGGGATAATAGATGGCAGCTTGGCCCCTTTAAGCCTGGAGGACTTCAACTCCCAGAATTCCCCAGCCAGCTTTGCTCCTCCAGGCTTAAAGTGGCCAAGGTTGGAGACCCCTGCACTAGAGTACACAGCTGATGGGTGACCGTCCCCTGCTGCAGGAGGCAGCTCCGAAAGGAGAAGTCCCGTCTTCATGAGGCAGCCCATCCCACCGGCTCCCAGCTCCAACTGGGCGTTGAGGCCTACAGGTCTTAAGGTTCCCGAGGTTGGACGGCCACCGTTTCAAATAGCACTTCTTGCATCTTTTCCCACTTGGTTGCAAACTGTGTTTGTGTGCAAAAGGATGAGGATGTGCAAAGTATCTCAATCCGCAATAGGTGGCAAATAAATTTGAATAAATGAATTTATCTAATAAATAAATGAATATTAAATACAAACACATACACACATTTGTTTAACTATTATTATGAATTATTTAGTAATAATAAAGTATTAATGTTTGTAAAATAATAATAACAAAATCAAAATCAAAATAATAATAAATAATAAAAACAACTGGAACACCACTTGAACACCATCGATGGCGCTGACAAATTTGCCCTCGTCAATTGCGGAAGGCAGCTTTGCTCGGAACTGCTTCCATCCGGCAGCGATCTCTGTAGGATCATCAAACATCCAGATCTGCCCATCCCAGGTCCTTGGTAAGGACTTGATAGGTAGACAAAAATGTCAAACCCAGCCTGAACACCTGGCTGACTATGCAATGATCAATAACAACAATTACAACAACCCATTAATTACATTTATTTAACCAACCAATCAAAAGAAATAAAAAAGTGTGTGTTTGTTATGAGTTGAAGGCATAGACTGAGAAATCTCCTGGGGAAGACCAGCTCGGTCCACTCTCGGCCCCTCGGTGTCCCCCCGCCGCCTCCTTCGTGGACCGGTGCCACCCATCCCGATGGGCCAGGGATGCCAGGCACCGCCTCCTGATGCCGCCCCCTCACACCACACACCCCCCCGTGACTTCTTCCTTTGCACAGACGCTGCTCGACCTGGGTGCCTCTACGGACTACAAGGACAGCCGGGGCCTGACCCCCCTGTACCACAGTGTCATGGTGGGCGGGGACCCCTACTGCTGCGAGCTCCTCCTGCACGACTACGCCAAGGTGGGCTGCATTGACGAGAACGGCTGGCAAGAGATCCACCAGGTGAGCCTTTCCAGGGTGGGGTGTGCAGGGGCTCAGCCGGGGGGAGGAGCGGGCCCGGATAGATAAGCCCCCCCCTGCAGCCCTCTTGCAGTAGAAGGGCAGAGGTGCCTCTCTGGCTGGCCCCAGAGGGCCACGGGGGAGGGCGGGCACCATGGGGTTTGGCATCCGGAGTGGGAGCTGTGGCATGAGGTGGGCTGGGCCTTGAAGTGGGCTGTGAATGCGAGTCCTGCCTCCCTGTCTCCTGGGCAGGCCTGCCGCTACGGACATGTGCAGCACCTGGAGCACCTCCTGTTCTATGGGGCAGACATGACCGCCCAGAACGCCTCGGGAAACACTGCCCTGCATGTCTGCGCCCTCTACAACCAGGTGAGCCTTACACACACACACACACACACACACACACACACACACACACCAGCCCCTCAGCCTCGGCTTCGCTCCCCAGGGGCACTCGAGCACCTCTGGATGTCAAAGGGGCTGAGCAGAGGAGGCCCAGTGGGGTGGAGGCTCAGGAGTCCCACCTAGCCCTGGGTGAGGGGCTCCTCTTCCTCCCCCCACCCCAAAAGAAGGGCCTAGCTAACCCAAGTCTGGCAGGAATTCAGTTCCTTCTCCCTCTTTTTCTTCCCGAAAGGGAATGCCAACTTCCATTCACTTCCCACTAATGCTCCAAGGAAGGTGGACTTTGTGAAGGGGGGAGTGAAGGATCCAGTGGGGAGGGGGGGGCCAAATTCCCAGCCCAGTTCCTGCCGTGCCAGTGGAGCCCTTTTGTGCCCCCCCCGGCCCCGGGAGAGGGGGGGATTCCAGGGTCCCCTTCCAAAGGGTAACTGGACGTAGCTCAGGGCTAGCCGGGGTTGGCTCTCCGTCCCCTCCTCTGGGCTGAGGATGGAAGTGGGGGGGGGGGGGGGGGGGGGGGCAAGAGAGGGGGAAGGGGCTGGCCCTGCAGGGTCACAGGCTACCGGACCGAAGCTGAAGCCCAAAACCTGCGTGGGGCCGGGTACAGCCAAGAAGGGAAGGCCGCCCCGTTGGCCCCTCCAGCACCAGTTCATTGGCTGAACTGGGCCACCTCGCTGCCCAGTCCAAGGGGGGGAGGGGTCTGACGCTGCCCCTCTTTTCTCGGCCAGGAGAGCTGTGCCCGGGTGCTGCTGTTCCGGGGAGCCAGCAAAGAGATCCGGAACTACAACAGCCAGACGGCGTTTCAGGTAGGGGCACGGCAGGCTCTGGAAGAGAGACCCTCCGCTCCCTCCCCTCTGGTGGGGAGGGGCGCCCGGAGAGACTCCAGGGGGGGTGCAGAGGCCCCCCCCCCCCCCCGCCCAGGCCAGGAGACCAAGAGAAGCGGGAGGCGGGGGGCTGCTCACGCCCACCCCTTTGGGAAGGCAGAACTCACCCCCTTCCCAAGAGGCCTGTAAGGGGCCTGCCTAAGCGCCCCCTCGTGCCTCCCGTCCCTGTCCTGTTGTCCCCATTTATCCGTACCTATTTCCCATATCCTTACTCGTGTTTGCACTTATTGCCTCTTGTAAGCGATTGACAAAGGGACCGGGGCCATTTGGGGTTGGGGTCCCAAGCCCAGGCAGGACAGGGCATTTCCAGCAACCCCCAAGTTCTGTCGGGGGCTTCCTCGTGTCCCCTCGAAGCCCTGCGACTGGCGTGAAGGCTCGCACTCATCCATCTCAGCCCACGTGAGGCATGCGCTTGGCGGTTTGTCCACTCGGGGTGGGGGGGGGCTGCATTTCACGCCCGTCTGTATCCATTACATGCTTCAAGTCAGCAAGAGGCATCTTGGATCGGTTGCTGTTCCAGGCCTTGGGGTGGGGGGGTGGGGGGGTGTGATCAGTCCCTCTTTCTTCTGCTCAAAAGTCACCAGAGAAAGGGTGGCGTCACAAAGGGCGCATCCCCTCTGGGGCCCGGGGAGGGGG